GGGCATGTATTTTATGGTGATAGATTAATTTAAAAGAAGTTTAACATTGTTCTGTGTATATTATTTGAATTTCTTCAATTTCAAACGAACGGCCCCTGATTTTCCTGTAATTTTTGCAGTATTTGAAATGAATATGTACCCACATAACTGTCTTCTAATCTGATTAAAATCTGGCCGAATTTTGGCCGATATTGAAAAAAAGTTTGGCCGAATTTGGCCGTGAGATGGCGTGTGTTTGGCCGTGAAGCCTGTCGACTATCTGGCAACCCTGCAACCAACTAGTGTAGACAATCGGGCTCAACTAGTGTGGACGATCGGGCTCACTGATGTAGACTTTCGGGCCAATTTTCTAAAACGAAGGATAGAAAAGACAATCGGACCCATTTTCTAATGACTTCGTCCGCCGACAACTTCGGTCGTGCGGAATTTGTATGGGGCGCCATATGGGCATTATTCCACACCCACTATTGTTTGGGGTCTATGCCGTGGTGTATGTCTATTTTAAGCTAATTCAATAGTGGAGTGTTAATTCTTCTGCACAATCCTTTCGTTATTATTATTTTTTTTTTCAGGTAAGAAGGAATGTGGATATCTATCAAAGCAATATATTAATTGGATTAGATTTATTCGGTGTAAACACCAAGGATATCCCACGAAAATCTAGAAGAAGACTTATTTCCAGTGGGGTCCTTCTGGTCCTTCCACCCTGGGCTCGTTCTATTTCCTTCCGGTCCTTCCGCTGTTGTGACGGTCTATTAAGCCTAAAAATATGAATTGGGCATCTGGCAAAAAATAAAGATCAATTTACTCACATTTTTTTATATGTAAAGAATAAAGAGAAAAAAAACTTTTTGAAGGTTTTTTGCTTTGCCGCCCCTATTTTTTTTCAGGTAGGGGCGGGTGAGGAGGACAAACAAACAACTTTTTATTTGGCCTTATTATACTTAGGACCCTATACCTGTAGTAGACCTACTGCATTATTTTCTGTTTTATCATTCATTTTTATTTATACCGAGTGGTAAAACTGTAATCTTGAAGGTGTAACTAAGGTAAGTTTCAGTGAATAAATAAATGTAATGTTTTGTGTTATACAATTTGATATTCAATACAGATTACGTTTATTTGGGTGGTGGTAGCCTGTACCCATGGACTAACACACGATAATGTCTAAAATATAGTACATATTCCTATTTACTATCATCAATATCACTATCACATTGGTGCAGACTTAGAAGGGGTGTAGGGGTCCCGACCGTCTCAAATTAATTAAAATAAAAAACAAATGATTGGAAATTGAAAACATTATATATATATATATATATATATATATATATATATATATATATATATATACATATATATACATACATATATATACATACATATACATACATATATATATCGTCATTCAATTGTAATAAATGAATTGCTAGCGCACGCAAAAAACAGGAAAAGGAAAATTCACATAACTTTTTTCGATTTAGCCGACGCCTTTGGCTCAGTCGAGCATAACTTAATAAACTACACGATGGAGAGATATAGAATCCCACCTATCATCCACAGTTATATAACTACACTTTATTCAAGACTCAGTGGAAAAATCCGTGGTCCTGCTTGGCAGTCATCAGATTTTAATTTCTGTAGGGGGTGTTCCAGGGTGACCCCTGTCACCTATAATTTTCTTAATGGCTTTCAACCCGATTATACACTACCTGAAAACCAAGGAGTCCGCGCATGGCTACAAACTCGAAGGAAAGAAATTTATCACTCTTCCATTTGCAGACGATTTTTGTCTAATCACTAAAGACAAAAGGGCACATCAGAAACTAATGAATGAGATAATAGATATTACACAATCTATGCATCTTTCTCTCAAGCCTATTAAGTGTAAAACCATGTCCATCAGAGGCGGTAAGCCTGATGAATGTAACTTTTAATTAGGGGTTAATATTCTTAAGTCCTTGAAGAGTGCACCCGAGAAATTCCACGGTAGTATGTTGGTTTTTAGTTTTAAAACTAAGGAAACCTTTGAATTCATGAAGAATAAAATTAATGGAACAATTAACAACATCAATAAAAGCCTTATTAGAAACGAATTCAAATTGCGTATATATATACAATACGCTACACCATCATTTCGCTATATGTTAACAGTGCCTGAGTTAACTGACTGTCAGCTTCAAACGCTTACCACATACACACAAACGCAATTAAACAATGGACTGGATTGGCCATAAACAGACCTACACCAGCATTCATACATAGTCCAGAGGGATTAAATTTCCCCCGAATATCCGACGTGTATCTGGAATCACATATCCTAACATATTCTCGTTCCCTGGTTAAGGCTGACAGTCGGGTAACCCATGCTCTGAAATGTAAATTAGAAAGTGAAACTAGATGGTCAAGAAAAATGCAAAAAAAAAAAAAAAAAAATGGCTCTAGAAAATGGAAAGTAGTCCACGATAGATCATATTCTAGGGCTGAATCAAATACCAATTGGTCAAAAATTAAGCCCCATATAAAAGAAGCTATATTTAGTAGGATTGAATTCTGGAATCAATATGTGGAACCCCTAAGGAAACAAGGTGCCCTACTAAAGCGTACACACCTTATCTCTTAAATTAAGGTAGTGTCAGGTTGTCAAGGTCCAATCCAAAGTCTGGTGCATTAGGTATACTTCCACCTGAAAAAAAAAAAAGAATCAAGATACAAGCTAATGTACAGTCAACTCTGCCTAAGTTAAATCTGTTGGGACTGTTCTAAAAAGTTTGACATATGCAAATTTCGTCTTGTGAATTTGGAAACAAAATATAGTCCAAATTTGACTTGTAAAAAAATGAGTTTGACACAGAATTTTAATGTATAGGCAAAAATTGGGACTCGACTTGTGAAAGCTTTTGACATATGCGAAGTTGACTTGGGCAGACTGAGTTGACTATAAATAAATAAGAAAATCACAATGAATGTGCAACATCATTTAGGCCATATGAGAAAAATGAAATAAGTACTTATAGAAATATACAATTTGAAAATTAATTTTGGCGGTATTTAAGTGTTCCTAACTGCATTTTTACAAGCAACAAGCTACGAACAGGGTTGTTGAAATATTGGTATTCTATGAATTGAATAAAATTTGGAAAAATCAGACTTAATTATGTTTCTTCTACACATCTATATGGAATGCTGCAAAAGCTAGACCTTCACAGAAAGTGTTAAAATCATGACATGATAAATTCTGTGAATCATTGGTCACTACGTACATTTGATTAAAAAACCTACTTACCTTTTACACGACTTAAAAACTTTCTTGCTTCAACAATCTTCAATGGTGGCACCAATTCCTCTTGCTCCACAAAAGTCAGGTCCTCATAGTTTTCAACTCCAAGCTCAAATAACTTTTCTTTAAGCTGTCTTAATCGCTCTTCATCCAGGTTCAAGACCAGCATAATATGTGATAATAAGTTTGGGTTATCCATCATAGTACTGTAACAATAAAGATAAATGGTCTCATTTGTTAGTTGGTATGGTACGAAATATTTCAGTGTAGTGGTAATGGTAATGGTGGGATATTTGTAGTGCGCCTTCCAGAATAAAATCTTCTCAAGCCGCCGAAAAAAGGTAGGACCATGAATTATAAAAAATTAAATTATATTATATCTTATATTATTGTGCCTATATTAATCAGAATATTTTTTAAATTTTAATTATTATAAGTTAAATAAATATAAATAAATGAATAAAGGAAATAAATAAACAAATAGAAAATAAATAAAAATAAATAAATAATTGATAAATTAAGCCTTCAAAAACAGGCAGACCAAGAATGGAAAAAACCAAGCAGCAGCATGAAAAATGCGAACTCCTGTTGTTGAGACGGTGTCACCAGCACTACCGCGTACACGCAGGTATTCCGGCGACAGTATGCTGGGCTCTGATAGCTTATACCTTGGATAAGCCTCGGCTCTACTACCGTGCACTGCTAAGGTGGCAACGCCGGCTCAAGTAAGGGAGTTGCGACTTTAAGGAACAAAAAACAAAACTCTTAAACTACAAAAATTGTAAAAAGATAAACTTAAAAAAAAGATGGGTTTTAAGTTTCTTCTTAAATGTATGAACGGAAGTCGCTTCACGGATAGAGGCTGGTAGGGTGTTCCAAAGTCTTGGTGCAGCAACAGAAAAAGTCCTATCACCGCAAGTTTTGAGTCGCGATGCTGGAACGGATAGTATCAATCTATTGGTCGTTGATCTCATAGACCTACTACAAGTTACAGAACGTGACGTTAGAATTTGAGAAATGTATTCAGGTGTCTTGTTGTGCGGGGCTTTGTACGTAATGAGGGGAATCTTGAAGGTGATGCGCTTGTCAATTGGTAACCAGTGTAGATGATGGAGAATAGGTGAAATATGTTCATGTGCATGAACTAACTTCAGAAGTTCATTTTTTGTTAGGAACTTTTGAATATGCTTGATGTTGCGCAGATGATATGAAACCGATTTACAAACAGTGTATATGTGTTTTTCAATCTTCATTATAGGATCAAAAACAACCCCTATATTACGGACTTTGGAAGATGGTAGGACATTGGTGTTACCAACTACAACACCATTAATCGGAGGTGGTCTTATATAGAGAACTTCAGTCTTACAAGGATTAAAGAAGAGCATGTTTTGTGACAACCAGGACTGAACATCACAAACGCATGCTTCAATGGTTTTCTTGGCTTCAGACCAGTTGTTGACATGGAAGCTAAGATAGAGTTAATTGTCATCGGCGTAGGCATGATATCGAACTCCATGACTGCTAATGATTTTGCTCAAAGGAGAGACGTAAATGAGAAATAAAATGGGCTCGAGAACTGACCCCTGAGGGACACCACTCTCTACATTAATGCACGCTGAAGAGCTATTTCTAATGCGAACCTGTTGTTTTCTAGATGTAAGATAAGATGTGAACCATGTAAGAACAGATCCACCAATTCCAAGAGATGCAAGTCTGTGAATGAGTATTTTGTGATCAATCGTGTCAAAAGCAGCACTTAGATCTAAAAAAACAGCCAAAATACAAAAGCCTTTATCAAGGTCAACCATTATATCGTTGTGGATTTTAACAATTGCAGTCTCAGTGCTGTAAACTTTTCTATAGGCCGATTGTAGAGGATCAAGCAGATTATTTACATCAAGAAAATTAATAATTTGATTTGCCACACATTTCTCAAGAAGTTTAGAGAGGAAAGGAGTGTTAAAATTTGTTCTAAAATTAGCAAGTTCATTGTGGTTTAAGTTAGGTTTCTTAAGCATTGGCCTGATGATCCCCACTTTTAAGTCATCAGGGAAAGTGCCAGATGAAAAGGAAGAATTAACAATCTGACAAAACACAG